GAGCAACTTATGGTACACATCCTTAGACTAACATGTTGTTGCTTGGAGTCTCATGGCTGCTGGTAATGTGGTGTCATCTTGATCCTTTGCTTTTAGATCAGAATACAACATCACCCTTTGTTCAAAAATAAAATTGCCCGAAACGTCAGCCTTCCTGCTCCTCTGATGCTGCTTGGCCTGCTGTGTTCATCCAGCTCTACACCTTGTTATCTTCTAACTTTCCCTAATAATGCTAATTATCTGTTTGTTGAAATATCCTTTCTTATTGAGTCTCAATGAATCGTAGGATAGTGTGGAGTAATCTGGCTGTTTAATAGTTTTCTGGGACCAACAAGTTAGCTGAGGTTTCTTTCCAAAGCCAGTGAAAATAAAATGTGTGAGTTCTTGGATCAAGCTGATATTTTTTCAGCTTGTTGACTGGCTGTCATTACTTTGCATTTTATCTTAAAGATGCAACCTGGTGAAGAAACAGTTTCATGATCCTACAGGCCACCAAAAGGATTAAATAAACAAACAGGAATCTCAGTCAACTCTGAAACTTCAGATGAGGTCGGGGGCCTGGACAAATGCCTAGTTGTTCTGATATTGGCCTTTGAGACTATTTTCAAACTAAATGCAACTGTTTTACACTTTTTCATTTTATTTTGATTTCTGAGGTATTAATTGCATGCAAAAACAGAAGTTAAAACAGCAGGCAAAGCTGTTATGGAAAGGTTTATTTCTGTGAAGTAGACAAAATAAATCCCAGATCAGCTTTTGAAAAGAAAGAAGGAAAATTCAGAAGAACCCAGATCAAGAGGGAACTGATTCAACAGTAAGTCCTCTGTTGTGTTTGTTGCTTCTGCAGGGCATGAGACCCAAGTACTAATTTCATTTTCTTTAACAGTACTTGTTTCCAGCACAGTTTATCCAGTTTTTTGAGCATGCTGTTGAATGTAGAAGAATATGACTTCAATTTCCATTATATCACAAGCCAGTTTGGGTTCTAGTGCGACCTCAGGACTTTTGGTTGATGCGCAGTGAGGGTCAGCCATATGACTATTCCACATTGACTTTAAAGTTGGCCATTCTTCTTCCTTGGGAACCTCTAGAAAGGCTGGTATTGCTATTTGCTCAGAAAAGCTGGTGGTGGATTTCCTTCTTGAACCGCTGCATTGGCGATTTCAGACAACTGAGTAGATTACTAGGCGTGCAGTTAAAGGACAACGATGTTGGTACTGGACTGGAGTTGAAAACAGAAGTCTAAGGTTGTGTGTAATGTTAACAGATTTCTGTTGCTTAAGGATATGAGTGAAGCAGTTGTTTTTATTTTTATTTGACCATGGTGATAGATGGGTAATTAAGAACATAAGGACAGGATGATTTCAAAATTGTTCTCCTATTCATCAGATCATGGCTGATGTGTATCTTAATTTCAAATACCTGATTTGGCTCCCTGTCCTTTAATAACCTTGCCTAACAATCATGGTTTTGGCACTGGGGCGGGGTGGGGGGGTGCGGGTTGGGGTGAGAGTGCATTATTGCCCCCTTCAATTCACTGGCGAATCGCAATAAAACCTGGTGGCACGGTGGCTCAGTGGTTAGCATTGCTGCCTCACAGCACCAGGGACCCAGGTTTGATTCCACCCTTGGGCGACTGTCTGTGTGGAGTTTGCACATTTTACCTGTGTCTGCGTGGGTTTCCTCCGGGTGCTCTGGTTTCCTCCCACAGTCCAAAGATGTGTAGGGTAGTGGATTGGCCATGTTATAGTGCCCAGGGAGGTTTAGATTCGATGGGTTAGACATGGGAAATATCAGGGAATGGGACTGGGTGGGATGCTGTTTGGAGAGGCGGTGTGAACTTGTTGGGCCAAATGGCCTGTTTCCACACTGTAGGGATTCTATGAATTCAATCCTAATTCATTTCCCTTTGGTGGGCATTCCTTTTTAATTGCTCCTTTAATTAGAAACATTGGTGACAAATAATTTCACCTTGTTTTATCCAAAGAAAATAATCATGGCTTTGAAATTTACAATTCAACTCCCAGCCTCATCAGTACTTTTTAAGGGAGAGTGTTCCAAGTTCTCTCTACCCTTTATTTGAGGAAGTGCTTCTTGAGGTTACCCCGAATTGTCTTTAATTTAAAGGTTTACCCTTAAGGCCCTGAAATGACCTTCCAATCTCACATCAGAGCCATCACTCAGATTTCCAGTTTCTACCTCAGGAACAGTCCTGTCCTATCCCGTCTGCTGCTGAAACCCTCATTACCTCCGGGCTTGATTATTCCAATGTACTCCTGCATGGCCTCTACTCTTTCATCGGAGGCCACCCAAAACTCCAATACAATCACGTGATCACATATCGGCCTTATGCTTGCTCAGTTACATTGGATCTGGTCAAGCAAAGCCTTGACTTTAAAGTTCTCATCCTTCTTTCAAACCCCCTCCTTGGGCTTGCCTTTCTCTACCTATGTCATTTCCTCCCATCTACCATTCCGTTCTCTAATTCTGGCCTCTGATTCTCACTCTGCCATTCCTGTTAGCCTGACCTTATTGTTTCAGTGAAGTCAGCCATTTCTTAAGTGCCTCAGGTATAAGCTGTGGAATTCCTTCCCTACACCTCTCCCATTCACTATCTCACTCTCCTCCATTTATGCACTTTTCGAAACTCATATCTTTGACAAACTTTTGATCATTCGATCTAATCTCTTCTTAAGTGGCTCATTGTTGTATTTTGTTTTCTAAAGTTCCTGTGTAGCACTCTGGGACATTTAATATTAAAGCTATAGATACGATAAACCTCTTGCTGTTTGTCTGGAGTCACTAACCAGGGGAAATAATTTCTCGGTGATGGATCCTATCCACTTTATGCTCAATTCTCATTCTCAGAATGAACAAATGGGGCCTGCTGAGAAATTCACTGACACAAACCTAAAATGGGTCCTCTTGCATTAGCCAACTAAACAGAATATTTGACAAGAGAACCAAGTCATTCCAAGTATCTAGCTAACTATCCAGCTCTTTCTGCACTGGTTTTACTACTTATGTTAGGGATTCCATTAGGGGATGAACTAGCAGTGGCCAGTTAGTTAGCTGGGTAGAGTCATTTTTAATTTGGTTATGGATTTTGATTGCCGCTGGCAGGGCCAACATGTGTTTCGCATTCCCAATTGCCCTGGAAAAAAAGAGGTGGTGAGCTGCCTTCTTGTACTGCTGCAGTCCTTTGGGTGTAGGAACACCCACAGTGCTATCAGGAAGGGAATTAGGACTTTGATCCAGCAACAGTGAAAGAATGACAATATAGTTCCAAGTCAGCACAGTGTGTGGCTTGAGGGGAAACATGCAGCTTGAGCTATATTGATGTGTCTGCTGCCTTGTCCTTTTCAATGGTCAGGGTTTGGCTTTGGAAAGTTCTACTGGAGGAGTCTTGGTGGATTTCTGCAGTGCACCTTCTGGATGATACACACTGCTTTCACTGTGTACCATTGATGAAGGTTGAAGATAGTGGATGATATGCCAGTCAAGTGTGCTGTTTTGTCTTGTATTCTATCGCATTCCTGACTTGTGCCTTGTAGATGATGGAAAGACTTTGGGGAGAGAAGAGCTGAATTCCTAGGTTCTGACCTACTCTTGTCTCATAGCATTTATATTGCTTATCCAGTTCAGTTCCTGATAAATGGCAATCCCTAGGATATTGAGAGTATGTGGTACAGAATATTGAAATGGTGTAGAGTCAATCCATTATTAGCTGTTGTATTTCATGAAGAGCTGCCACCTTGCCTTGGTCCTTGTTTGATATGAAATGGTCACCCTCAATTTGTCCAACCACTTCTCTCTTTCTCTCTAACATGGAAAGCGGTCCCTCATACACCATGGTTAATTACCAAACAGTAAACCCAGATATTTCCAGCGGCTATTTCTGATTAAAAACGTAAGAAATAGGAGTAGGCCAATCATTAAAAATGACAAATGAGATATGAATCACTTCAATACTTTGAAGCTCCATTTCAGAATAGAATAGAATCCCTACAGTGTGGAAGCAGGCCTTTCGGCCCATCAAGTCCACACCACCCCTCTAAAGAACATCCCACCCAGCACCACTCCATCCCTGTAGCCCTGCAATTCCCATGGCTAACCCACCTAGCCTGCACATTCCTGGACACCAGAGATCAATTTAACATGGACAATCCACCCAACCTGCACATCTTTGACAAGTGGGAGGAAACCAGAGCACCTGGAGGAAACCCCATGCAGAACACGAGGAGAATGTGCAAACTCCGCACAGACAGTCGCCCGAGGCTGGGATGAAACCCGGGTCCCTGGTACTCTGGAGCAGCAGTGCTAATGACTGAGCCACATGCCAATCCCAAAACAATCAAAGAGTTTAAAAGAGTGCAAAGCCCAAGTTACTACAACAGCGTTTGGCTCTCACAGCAACTGCACCTCTCACATTTTTACGTATACTGTGGCATTTGCTTCAAATGTCCAAGACTTTCACTGTGAGATTCAGACTCATGCTTTCTCGATCACATTGTACAGCAGTGAGAACTGAGAGGTACTTACAATTGCGTTTGGAAGACGACAACCAGCGCTGAAAATCCAACTCCAACAGCTACACCATAGGGCAAACCGAGTAGAAATGCTGACAGGAAACTCACTATCCACACACACTGAGGGGTAAAGAGACAACATGTGACTGGATGAAAGAAACAAATGTTCACCACAGAAAAAAGAAGCTAATATTTTGGATGTAAAGATTAAGAGTGGGCCCTATCGACAGAACTAGGGATCACAGTTTAAGGATACAGGGTATGCCTGGGTAGTTAGAACTGGGATGAGGAGGGGTGGGGTAGTTAGAATGGGGATGACGAGGGGTGGGGTAGTTAGAATGGGGATGAGGAGGGGTGGGGTAGTTAGAACTTGGATGGGGAGGATGGGGTGGTTAGAACTGGGATGAGGAGGATGGGGTA